GCACAAAAACAATATGTTAAAATACACTGCATTTTCGGATGAAAAAAAGGACTATAATAGCATTCGCTATCCTTCTGCCACAAATTCCAAATCTGTTAAAGAAGAAATACTATAGTAAGAACTCAGAAGTGATCTGTGAATTATTTAAAAGAATCAAATATTGGGGAAAATGCCAAGAGTTTTACTATGTGCATAAATACCAGTTATTACATAGCTCTGGAAAGTCTGGTTCACTGGAGATATATTTCACGGTACTTGTCTTTTTACAACAGCGTGGGGTTTGGTTCACTTTAACAGAAAATGTCTGTCCTCAGTCACAATGAAGGGGTACATGAATGATGTCTGAAGTGACATTCATAAGGCTTCCTGCAAATTCCCCTACCTCCTATTTCTAGGCTAGAAATACGGGAGAAAAAAGGCCGTGTGGAGAAAGCTGCCATATGAACCCAGGTAGAAAAGGGAATCACAACACAAAATTTCTATTAATACTCCAAAAGCCATACCGAAGAGCATCAAAGATAGTAACAACATCTGGGCAAAGACTGTGTATTCACTGCAAAATAAATCCTTAATCGTAACGAACACCCATTATCTGTTGAACAAATTAGATGGAATCCTATCTGGTTGCAGCTTTAGAAACAAAAGAAACTAATACTTTGAAACCAATTTGTTTAGAAACTATTTCTAAAAAAACCCCAAGAAACAAGATATACTAATTCTTTGCAAAAAGGAAATGCCCTTAGGATTGATGGTTTGGGTGGTATAAATGATATATTGAAGTTTATAATTATGTCTATCTAATGTCCCAACCTCCTCCAATAAAGCTTATGTAAGTGTGATTTTGACAGCTTATAAAAATCCTGCCAATCGTGCAAGCTGTCTTCCAATTTCCTAGTTAAAGACTGATGCAAACATATTAATAGTGTCCCTGGCAAACAGATTACAGATGGTATGACCTTAGATTATTTGGTCTGCACAAACTGCATTTATAAAAGGTTACCTAGATGTTAGATTAATAGCTGTCATTGTGGATGTGCATCAGGGAAAACAGAACATTAAATCATCAGTGGCATTTTATTAGATGAGGAAAAGGTCTTTGATTTCGTGGAAATTTTTGAAATTGGAGAGAGAGAGAGAGACAGAGAGACAGAGAGAGACAGAGACAGAGAGAAAGGATTTCAAAAATTTTGGCTAGATAGTACAAAAATGTAGTCATTTTGGAATTCTAGCCTCATAAAGGAAGGGAAGGAGGGAGAAAGGAAATAATTTTGCTTGAGACAAATTAAAAGGAATTTCATTGATTTTAAAAGCCTTGCTTTAAGATGTGAAAGAGAGATTAGGGGAGAAATAAGAAAGATAATTGGAAGATGTAATTGGGAGGGAAGAGAAGGAGTTCCGGGAAGATACAGTATAAGCCCTATAGTAAGCAGTTCTCTGGGAAAAATAGAGAAAGGCAACAGCAAGAAGGTGGATGGCAAGATTCCAGGTCAATGAAGGGAAACTGCCTGAATCTATGGTAGATCCATGGTAGTTTTTTCTGAATACAAAGGTAAGAAACGGAGCTCTTAATTGAGATCATGAAGCATCTAGGAAAACAAAGAGCAGAAATGAATAGCTCTTAAGCTTTTAATTAGAAGTTGGAGATCTTCAAAATCAATTTAGATCTAAAAAGTAAAGATTTCCCCTGCCCAGTCATATCTGAATCTAGGGGGTGGTGCTCATCTCCATTTCTTAGCCGAGGTTGCCAGCATTGTCCAAAGACACTTCCTTGGTCACGTAGCCAGCATAACTATATGCCAAGGAGCACAGATACTGTTACCTTCCCACCAAAGTGGTGCCTATTTATTTACTTGTATTTGCATACTTTCAAACTAATATACTGAATCATAAGGAAATAGGGACTATCTAGATTGAACACACACTGTCAGGATTCCCCCTCCCTCTTTTCTTTGTTGTGTCTCTCTGACTGTTTCTGATAAGTGTCTCTAGTAACTTCTATATCTGAAATTCGTCTTTTTCATTATTATTCTATGTTAAGCTTTACCTCAGATCCACCCAGTGGGACCTCCCCATAGCTACTTCAGCCAGGAGAGGTGCTACATAATTCATTCTGTTATCATCCTCATCATCATGATCACCATCTTCTTTCTCACTTATGTGGCAAGCTGTTGGAGTATCCTCATTTTCTCAAGAGCCACTGATGGAATTGGATAGTAAGAGCAGAACTACTAGTTAATCACTGTGCCATTGCAAGGAGGTTGGTCTAAGGTTGGTTGTTTCCTCCAGAGGGGAGAAAACTTTAGACCTCTCCCTCCACCTTTAATTTGATGGGCAGCCAGCTCCTACTACAGTTCTAAAATGTTGCTCATACCATCTTTTCTTATTGCCTCATGTTTTTATAACTGAAATACTTAAGAAATGGTACTAATGGTTACATTTTTAAAATGAATTTCTCAACCTTTTAATGTTCACCAAACATTTTAATGATTTTGTTGTTATACCACAATCTCATATACATTTAGATATAACTAAGACCTCAGAGTTCAGTGGGAGCCTATTCCCAGAATTTGAATTATCAGAACTTTAGCATTTTCTGTATAGTAATGCAAAATAGTTTGTTCAGCTATCATTAACTCTAGGGATAGAATTGTAGCAAACTAAACTAAAAAAGTCTATCTGATATCACAGTGTACGCCTTTCCTACATTTACAATATTACTTACAGTATTCAAAATTTAACATCCCTGCATTCTAGAACCTAAAAATATAAATGACTAAAATCTGAGCACTGTATCTTATTTCTAACATTGTGATGTACAATGCTAACTGAAAAAACTAGGTGCCCTTTTGTTAGAAAGCAATTCTTACACTCTTAAATTGTTAAGCATCTCTAAGCTAGCTAAAATCTATTTATGAAATATTATTCATACATTTACAACCTATGATAAACAGCTGATGTGCAGCTGATACACAATAAACCTTTTATAAAACTAAGAGAGATACAGGAATAGTATGACTGAAATCCATTCCTTGAATGGGAATGTTCAAACTTTGAAGTCCTTGTACTATTTTTTACAGTCCATTACAATCCATCTGACTTCCAAATTAATAATCTGTATTATGCCAGTAGTATCTTGATTTTCAGTGCTAAATCTTCTTTGCCTATTATTTTTTTAGAAAAAAAACCTGGAATAATATTTTAATAACATGACTTTTATCAAAAACAGCACCCTATTTGCATGGTGTTATTTCAACACTTTGTGATCTTGACATTCAGTTTATTAAATAGAATTATTCTTGCACCAGAAGATAAATAAAATCTATGCAGCTGTCACAAAATGAGCAACACATTAGCTGGACATAAATATGGAATGCTTTTGGAAACCTGGCGAATTCAAATTATAAAAAATATTTAGAAAAGAAAATATCTGTGAACCATAGTGAAATAAAATATGATGGTGTTGGTAATAAATGAGAACCCTTTAGGTAAGTCCAGACCAAGAAACCAAATTCATGAGCACTAATTCTACTTTTATTGTAACTTTATTATTACAAAATTTTGCCAAGTTTGAAAGTGCCTTTCCCTTCCCCTGCCTTTACATTCCATAGAACTAGACAGCATTGAATCTAAGACACCTTAAGAAATTACATTTCTGGTTTGGGTTCACATTTTGTTTATTAGTTCATTGCCTAGGCTGCAGCAGAACTGGCTGCAGTGGTTAGAATGCAATGTTGCAGGCTAATTCTGCCAACTATCTGCAGTTCAATCTTGACCAGCTCAAGACTGACTCAGCCTTCCATCCTTTTGAGTTCAGTAAAATCAGGACCCAGTTTGTTGGGGGCAATAGGCTGACTCTGTAAAGTCTAAGTGCTATTGCTATTATTATTCTTGTCTCCCAAAGTTATTCTCACAGCCCATTACAGTAAAGGAAAGAGGATTTATTAAGATTTCTCAGAATAGAGCTGTGATTTCCCTACTATGCATTGTAGTAGGCCAGGACATTTCAATGTACTAATAAAAGTGCCACTGGATACTTTACTTGCTTGCAACATCCATTTGTGAAGTTGGGTTTTGCAATGTCCATTTTCAATGTCGTATGTTTGCGATGTTAGGTTTTCAGAGGCAAAACATGAATCTAGAAAGTTTGGAAAATCTGGGCCTGAGGCGATATGAATCAAAAACGTTTGGGAATTTCTGCTGTAGAGCATTGAGAAATTATATAACTATTCTGACAAATTTCAACCAGATTTCCTCATAGTTATCATATTCATGTAAACTAGATATCTCGGCAAATAATTCTGTATATATTATTAACCGGCATAGTTTTATAATATGCTGTTTCTACCTTATAAAATCAATATTCTAAATAACTATTGTTCAATGTTAGTATCATTCAGAAGACATATAAAGTCTGGGCTCTTTTCCCAGCCTTCATTGTGCTTGCCATATTTTACTTTTATCTCTTATTTTATTGATTATAATTTCTTTGATTGTTGTGAGGCACTCAGAGTCATTGAGAGTTGGGGAGTATACTTTATTGGGATTTATTCAATGAACTAAAAACACTTAGGATAGATTGATACTATATATGGTAACTGGAGCAACAATACTGTATAGGTAGTAACCTTCTGTGTTGACAATATTAGATTTGCTCAGCAGTACAAACATTGCATACAGGTTGCAGCAGCTTTATGAATCATGTAAAAAGCTACACTCCAAAACTGGATGGGGTTCCATGGGGGCTGGGAGGGTTGTCAAGGGGTGAAATAAGTAGCTTAAACTTCTAAAGACAGGAACAGGAAGCCATAGAAGAGTCAGTTCTTATTTGTCTCTCATTGAAATATGAAGTCCTAGAAGTACATTATGGATCACCAAGCTTGGAACTTCATTGATAGATCTTCTGAAATATCACAGTATTTAATAACATCTAAATATTAACAAACTTTTTTGCACATAAAGGAGGGAACTAGAACATGTGGATAAGGAAATTCCACTATTACCTTTAAATATTTTCTTTTACAGCACATTACTTATTGATATACCTAGAAGAAAGAAAGAAAAAAATGATTAGAATAATACAGCTATTATGGACTTCAAAGTTCTCAGCAATTATAGTGCTACCTTGATACCCAACTGCTTTGAAACTCATCAAATTTGGTATTCAATGCATTTTGACATGAAAATTTTGTCCCGGTACTCATCGTTTGTTTGGTACTCAATGCAAAAGCTAGAACTTGTCAGTGTTGGCTGCCTTGTGACTTACTACATTATTCCTTATGCGAAAAATTTGTTTGGTACTCATCATTTTTGGTACTCATCACCCCTCCCAGAACCAACTAAAGATGAGTACTCAGGTACCACTGTATTTTGAAACATGTTGTATTTTGGGGCTTTAAACAATATACAGGCAAAACTTGGAATTGAAATTTGGAATCAAGCATCAAGTGCAAAAGGAAAATGCATAATATAAAGACATCATACAGAAATTACATATGCCTTCATGCTGCTATAGAGGTTAATAGAATTTGGTCAGTTTACAATATTAAAATTACTCAAATAATTCTTCCTCTGTAAAACACTTGTGTTGTTTTCTTATGTACACATTTGCTGATATTTTCAGAAAGACCACATAAAATCAGGTGGCCTGTGCTGTTGTGTAATACTTAGAACACATTTTAAATTACAGTATTAAACTATGCAAATAAATAAATACCTTTGTTAGCAATTTTGCCCATACCACACCTGTGTTCTATTTATTTGTTTTCTTTGCTTCATTTTAATTATGGGAATATGTCATGTAGCAGAAGATGTCACATGCATTTAGGAATGGATATATAATGGATATAAAAAGTCTACACACACCTGTTAAAATGCCAGGTTTTTGAGATGTAAAAAAAAAAAATCACGCCATGATAAATCATTTCTGATTTTTTTCCATCTTTAATATAATATATAAACTGTACAATTCAACTGAAAATCAAGCTAACATCTTTTAAGGGGGAAATAATAATAAAAAGTACAATAATTCTCATGAATTAAGCTGGAATCAATGATACAACTTGGGTGTTGAAGGAAGATACCAAGGCAAGGCTATAAAATGGCAGCTAAGAATGAATGAGTTCAAATTAAGCTGCTACCTAAATTAATTTCTAGAGAACTTAAAGTTCTCAATACCTGGGAAGATCCTGGAAAAGATAATCAAACAATGAATCAAAGAACACCTAGAGGCAAACAAAGCCATTACAAAAAGCCAACATGGGTTTGTCAAAAATAGATCATGCCAGACAAATCTTATTGCATTCTTTGACCAAGTGACAAAATTAGTGGATCAGAGGAATGCTGTAGACATAATTTACTTGGACTTCAGTAAGGCATTTGATAAAGTAGATCACAACCTACTACTTGATAAGATAGAAAAATGTGGGGTAGACAGAATCACCACCAGATGGATCGGTAGCTGGCTGACCGGCCGTACTCAGCGTGTGGTTCTCAATGGAACTGCATCTATATGGAGGGAAGTGTGTAGTGGGGTGCCCCAGGGCTCTGTTCTGGGCCCAGTGCTCTTCAACATCTTCATCAACAATTTGGAAGAAGGGATAGATGGGGAACTCATCAAATTTGCAGATGACACCAAGCTAGCAGGAATAACCAACACTCCAGAAGACAGGCTTAAGATACAAAAGGATCTGGACAGACTTGAACACTGGGCACTAACTAACAAAATGAAATTCAATGGTGAAAAAAGCAAGGTTCTACATTTAGGCAAGAAAAACCAAATGCACAAGTACAGCATAGGTGGCACCATGCTCAATAGTAGTAACTGTGAGAGGGACCTCGGAGTCCTAGTAGACAATCACCTAAATATGAGGCAGCAGTGTGTTGCAGCTGCCAACACAGTGCTAGGCTGCATTAACAGAAGGATAGAATCAAGATTACGTGAAGTATTAATGCCACTCTACAATGCCTTGGTAAGGTCATACTTGGAATACTGCATCCAGTTTTGGTCACCACGATGTAAAAAAGATGTTGAGACTCTAGAAAGAGTACAGAGAAGAGCAACAAAGATGATTAGGGGACTGGAGGCTAAAACATATAAGGAACGGTTGCTAGAATTGTCTAATTTACCGAAGAGAAGGACAAGGGGGGACATGATAGCAGTATTCCAATATCTCAGGGGCTGCCATATAGAAGAGGGAATCAAGCTATTTTCTGAAGCGCCTGAAGGCAGGACAGGAAGCAATGGGTGGAAACTAGTCAGGGAGAGAAGCAACCTAGAACTACAGAGAGACTTCCTGACAGTGAGAACAATTAATCAGTGGAACAACCTGCCTCCAGAAGCAGTAAATGCTCCAACACTGGACGTTTTTAAGAAGAGACTGGACAGCCATTTGTCCAAAATGGTGTAGGGTTTCTTGCCTGAGCAGGGGGTTGGACTAGATGACCTCCAAGGTCCCTTCCAACTTTATTATTATTATCGATCATCGCACAGTCAGCCAGATGTTCAGACTGGATTTGGCATTTTGTCTACCTATCGAGTCCTTACCCAGGCCTGGGATAGGCAGATGTGGATGTTTGATGGTATTACAGATATCGTCGCAGGATGGAAGCAGTTCCTAATAAGGCTGCCTTTTGCAATTGACTAATAGCGAATTTGTCAATGCCAATGGTGTTCAAGTGGTGCTCCAGTTGTTTTGGGATTGCACCCAAGGAGCCTATGACTATTGGTACTACCCTTGCTTGCTTTTGCCACAGTCTTTCTATTTCTATTTGTAGGTCTTTGTATTTTGTTATCTTCTCCAGTTCTTTCTCGTCTATTCTGCTGTCTCCAGGCACTGCCACGTCCACTATCCAGACTTTTTTGTCTTTCTTATCGACAATTGTTAAGTCTGGGGTGTTATGTTGCAGGTGCTTGTCTGTTTGAATTCTGAAGTCCCAGAGCAGTTTAATTTTATCATTTTCTATGACTTTCTCTATTTTATGATCCCACCAGTTTTTGCTTACAGGCAAATGATATTTTTTGCAGATCTTCCAATGCACCATTGTTGCTACTTTGTCATGCCGCTGCTTGTAATCAGTCTGTGCAATCTTCTTGCAACAGCTTACCAAGTGGTCCACTGTTTCTTCAGCTTCTTTGCATAGGCGGCACTTACTGTCTGTTGCTGTCTTCTCAATTTTGACTTTGTATGCATTTGTCCTTAAGGCTTGGTCTTGTGCAGCCAGAATTAGTCCCTCGGTCTCTTTCTTCAATTTTCCTGCTCTTAGCCATTGCCAGGTTTTATTATTATCTGCTTTCCCAGCTATTTTTTTCATGTATTGGCCATGTAGTGCTTTGTCTTCCCATGCCTCTATTCTGTTCTTCATTTGGTCTTTCTTGTAGGCCAGTTTGGTCTCTCCAGTAGTTAGTAAGCCTTCCTGATATACTAATTTCAGTGCATCTTCATCATTGTTCTTCAGATATTCTTCCAAAGCCATTTTTTCTTCTTCAACCATCTGATGTACTTGTAGCATTCCACGCCCACCTATTTGCCTTGGTAGATAAAGTCTATCAATGTCACTGCGTGGATGAAGGGCATGATTCATTGTCATTATTTTTCTGGTCTGCCTATCCATTGCTTTTAGTTCTGCTTGAGTCCAGTCCACTATTCCAGCTGTGTACCTAATGACTGGGATTGCCCAGGTGTTGATTGCCTTTATGGTATTTCCTCCATTGAGTTTGGATTTTAAGATCTTCTTCACTCTCTTGATGTATTCACCTCTAATCTTTTTCTTGACTTCAGTGTGCTTGATGTTGTCAGCTTGAAGGATACCCAAGTATTTGTAGTACTCTTCCTCATCCAGACTCTTAATGTTATTTTCGTGGGGCATCTTGATTCCTTCAGTTTTCATTATTTTTCCTTGTTTGATAGTAAGTGTGGCACATTTGTCCAAGCCAAACTCCATTACAATATCTTGGCTATATATACGGACAGTGTTGAGCAGCGATTCTATTTCAGATGATGTTTTTCCATACAGCTTCAGATCATCCATGTAAAGGAGGTGGGATAGTCTGGCAGATGTTTTTGATGTTTGATAGCCATGTCCTGAGTTATTCAGTATTGTTGACAGAGGAAACAGTGCAATAACAAATAGTAATGGTGATAATGAATCTCCTTGAAATATCCCTCTCTTGATATTAACCTCTCCCAGCCTCTCACCATTGATCTGCAACTGTGTCTTCCATTGTGCCATCGATCTTTGCACAAATTTTCTGATGTTTCTACTGACTCCTGTTATTTCTAGGCACTTGATTATCCAATCATGTGGCAGAGAGTCAAATGCCTTTTTGTAGTCAATCCATGCCACATTCAGGTTGGTCTTCCTTCTCTTGCAGTTTTCCAAGATCATTTTGTCTATTAGGAGTTGATCTTTTGTTCCTCTGCTATTGGGGCGGTTTCCTTTCTGCTCAGGTGGAAAGAGATTGTTTTCAACTAGATGCTGTTGTACTGCATCAGCTACCACACCAGTTAGTAATTTGAAAGTTGTTGGTAAGCAGGTAATTGGCCTGTAGTTACCTGGTGTTGCCCCTTTTGCTGGATTTTTCATTATTAGGTAGGTTTTCCCAGTTGTTAGCCACTTTTCAATTTCTCCTCCTTGTAGTATATTGTTGAACTGCTTGGCAATGAGTGGGTGTATAACAGTTAGATGTTTCAACCAAAACCCATGCAGTTCATCTTCACCTGGTGCTGACCAATTTTTGATTTTCCTTTGCTCTTTTTTCTACCATTTTTGTTGTTATTACTAGTTCTTTCATTTCAACTTCTGTTTTATTTGCATCCACCTCTTTTAACCAAGCCGCATCCTTGTTGTATTTCTTTGGGTTATCCCATATCTGCTTCCAGAACTGCACTGTTTCTTCCTTGTCAGGTACTGACTGATTCCTTGCAGTTTCTCCATTGATGGATTGGTAGAAACGTTTCTGATTGGATTGAAATTGGAGGTTCTGCCTATAGTTTGCAATTCGAGCTTCATATCTACTGATTTTCCTGGCTATAGCTGTTATTTG